CTGAGATGTGAGCCTGCAACTAGTGGCAAAAAAAAAGACACTTTTGACCCTTTCATAGTCTTTTAAAAGTCCTAATGCTTCTTCTAACTTTATGTAGTAATTTTCATCATTGCAGGGCAATTCCACATACTATTCTGACTTTTCAGTACCGCGGTTGCTGAAATAACACTAACGACTAATTAGATTCCTACTCCAGGAGGCTATATGGGAACTGCAGAGTAACTTCACAGCAGCCTTATGTTCTCTTTTGCTAACCAAGAGTCTCTGATCTGCTTCAGTGTCACGTTCAGTAAGAAAACTAAGCTGAGGAAGATGATACTTCAGTCACAGCTGCTGTAATGTTATGAGTCCTAGAAATGACAAAACCATTGGAGTCTTAGTGGCAGAAATTTTCAGGACTTTGTAATACGTTCCTGTTTTATAATCTTGATTTTATTTTATTTTTTATTTCACATTTCACTCTAAACCAGACCAAAGCAGATGTTGACAGCGACTCCTTGCCAGCAGCAATCCGGAACTCAGAGGAACGTCTCTCCAAGGGTGACATATACCTGCTGGAGAACGGGCTGAACATCTTTGTGTGGGTGGGAGTGAACGTGCAGCAAGGCCTGATCCAGAACCTCTTTGGAGTGTCATCCTTCAGTCAGATTAGCAACGCCTTGGTGAGCTGGATGGCAGTGCGGGAACTAGTGTCTGTGATAGTCACCTAAAACTTAAAACAATGAGAAAGCAAATTGAGCAAATAGTGTTAAATTTTTTGTACTAGGAACAAGAGAAGCACAGGTATGTGAATCTGGTGGAAGTGTCCCTAGTCTGGGCACGTTGGCCATGCTTTTGCCTAGCTTTATTTGACAAGCCATATTTCCACTGACGGTGTGGAGAACATTTGATACGTACATGGAACGAATAATTGACCTTTAGTTCTGATACATGTTATAGTCTCTTGTAAGTAGTTGAGGTCAAAGAGATTGTATGATAGTGGGGGTAGATACATCTTTACCTTTATGTGATATGACAGAACTGCTGAGTTTTGTTTAATGTTGCGTTACTTCACGTGACTAATGGGGGTTGGATCTCTTTCATTCCAGAGTACCCTGCCTGTCTTGGAAAACCCCTTTTCAAAGAAAGTACGATCTATTGTTGACATGCTTCAAGTGCAGAGATCCCGCTACATGAAGGTAAAAATGTTGTCCCACATTCATAGCTTTAAAACCCCTTCCCTTTTAGCAGAGCAGGTGATGCCTGGTAGTGCTGCAGTGCTGAACTTATTCTTCCTGATCTCATAAATGTGATTGAAACATAAAGTTTTCAAGGATCTGAAATAAAAAATTGTTACTAGTTTTGGAGTTCTGTGCTTACCGTAGTTCTAAAATTAAATTTTTTCAGACCTGTTGTAATATGCCATTGCACAAACCACATGCATGGTATTTTCCTTCTATTTACAAAGGACTTGAAACTTAAGCCAGCTTAGTTACGGAAGTGAAAGCACATAAGCCATATATGCTGTGATTCTGGTTATCTATCTTTGAATTTTTGAGCTCTTTAGCTTTTTGCTCTTTTTCCCAAGAACATTAATTCTGCTAACTACTCACTGTTGGTTTTGTTCTTGTTTTGTTTTTTGTAGTTAATAATTGTGAAGCAAGAAGATAAGCTGGAAATGCTGTTCAAACACTTTCTAGTGGAGGACAAGAGCCTGAGTGGGGGGGCTTCATATGTGGACTTCCTGTGTCACATGCACAAGGAGATTCGGCAGCTACTGAGCTAGAGGAAGGAGAGGTGCTGGAACTCAGCAGTGACATTTCAGTCTCCACTAATGACCTGATCAGAAGGCCCAGCGCCCTCAAAAAGGACAACATAGAAATCTGTACAATTCCATAATTTTTAATACACATTGCATAAGCAGAAATCCTTTCAACCTCTCCTAGTCCCGTATGAGAGATGAAAAATTTTCCTGGTGAGGGCTGGAAAAAAAAAAAAAAAAAAAAAAAAAGGCCTTTGATACCAGGTCTTTTACTTGTATCTAAATTGTTTCCTGTGCTTGGCAGGAGTTCACCCCCCCACCCCATGCTCGCTAATCCTGTGGTAATGAATGTAGTTTTTTTTCAGTTCACTGTACATGATTCAACATTGGGTGAAAAAGCGATAACTCTTCAAAACTTCTGGTAGTTGCTGTGTGTTTGTATGGGCGCGTGTGCATGCTCCAAGTGTGAAGAGGATGCACAGGTGGGGAGGCCAAGAGGCAGGTCAGGTGATGGGAGCTGGAGCAGCCAAACATTTTGTGTCTTCTTCTCTTAAGAGGGAAACATGACATTGCAGAGCACAGATGTGTCATGTGGCTGGCTGAACCAGAAATCCATGAAAAAGGAAGTGAGTGGTAAGCCAGGAGGCAGCAGGGCAGTTTTTTTTTCCCCCAGTCTTTCCTGTACTGTAAGTTGCTGTGCAGATCTGTAATGGAGTAAGTAATAGTTCAGTGAGCAACAATCAACGGCTTCTGAACAGCGTAGGGGTAGAGACAGTGCTTCCTGTTGGTGTGTATGGTGACTCTTTTCCTTCTCATTGCACGACTCTGTAATGTCCCACTCAATCCATGTTCCATGGCCTCTCCTGCAGAGCTTACCTGTCTATCCAGATGGTGGTAGGAACAAAAGCCTCTTAACCTTAAGCAGAAAATACTTTTAACAAGGTAATGTGGGGCTGTGTAGGAACTGGATGATAAGGAATGGCCATTTCCAACCATATTATTCTGAATTATAGCAAACAAGCTGGAATTTGAGTTATACTGATGCAGAGTTGAGACTGCTTTGTACCGTGGAATACAAGGAAGGGGATACAAAGACTAAGATTTAGACTGTACTGTAGTAGGTACTGCAGGTACCTGATTTCGGTTATTTGAAAGCATCTGGGCCATGAAGAGTTTCATTACTGGATGTTTATACCCTCCCCCATTCTACCGACTGATCAGCTTGCACAAAACCTTTTTATAAGCCTGTTTGTTAAACTGAAATACCTCAGACAGATTAATCCATCCGCTTTGGCCACTCTGCTGCTCCATTCTGCAAGGGTGGATGAGAAGACTCCTGCGAAGAGGGTGCATGTGTAAATCAAATTCAGAATTCTAAGGGCTTCGTTTATTCACTTTTGAAAAGGAGGCTTGTATATTTTAGCTTGAACGCTTAACAAGTGTTCTTACAACACCCAGGAGTAGTGCTACCGATAGCACTAAAAGTGGGAGGAAGAATGTGGGTGGATTAGAGAACATATTATCTGGGCTTGATATTTCAGAGGAAAGTCCTTGTTAAGATCAGAAAAATACCTGGCTGTGGTTTTAGTTCCGTATCCTGTAGCATGTATATAAATCCTTTTTTTTTTTTTTCTTTTTTCTTCTAATGCTGCTAGTTTGTCTTCCCTCCCATCACTACACAGAAAGGGAAATATGAAAATTGCAATGGAGAAACTCTTTCAAGATGTAGTTGACAGAACCTTCAGCGTTTTTGTATGAATGTGGCTGACTTTTTACTCCACGTACTGCCTCCAACCAAAAAATCGAGAGGATTTTTAACCAGAGAGGAAAAACAACTTCCCGGGAATATAAGGCGCAGCAACCACAGACTTCCATAAATACTAATTTCTAGTATTAATATTGGGGGGTATGGGGGGTGGAAATGAAATCATAAATGAACCTTTCATTTTCTTCACTTGTTTTTCCAATGCATCTTTTAATTTGTAAAGAAATAAAAATATATTAAGATGTATTTTATGTCATTGTTAGTAAATAAACACTGCTTATTTTTCCAAACCCTGTATTTTGCGGGAGGGAGGAAAGGGGAAGGGCTGAAGTTTAGCTGGTTGATCCTGTACTGTCCCATCTTCTGCTGACCCAAGTTTAGTCTTGTTTCTTTTTTTTTTCTTATTCACAGTGAATGATGATAAGAAATTCAACAAGAATCAACAGACAAAAGGTGCTGTTTAATCAGATCAGTGTTACTTTGCTTAGATGATTGGGTTTTTTTTTAATTTTCTGCCTCTTCTGAACTTTCATTTTGCGAAGAGATTTCCCTTTTCTCTAACACAGCTTGAGTCTGATTGGGGTTTTTATGGTCTGCTTTGGAAAGTATTACCCTTACCTTGTGACAATGTTAACTTAAAGACTTCTGCTGTCTTAATTTTTCAGACAGATAGCTCCTATTTGAGAGTTAAAATAGCAGGGAAGTTGGGGGGGGAGGGGGGGCGGGGAGTAGTGTGCTAATTGCAAAAATAAAGTGCAGAGTGAACTGGCACTGGTAACTTGACTGTAGCCTAGAACATTGATATCACTGGTAACCTTACAACAACCGCTCTGAAAGCACAAGACAGTCATTGCTGACTACCCCGTGCTACTGCTGTAGAATATTTTTGAGATTATGCTCCTGCAGAATGTACGTTATATCCAGAATCCGCTACTGAACTGGTACAATGCCATAACCATGGGCCTTGTGCATCTTGTACATTAATCGTGCGGAGTAAATTGTGCTTGTGGGCATTATTTTTGGTGACAGCACCCCTTCCCGTGCCTGTGGAACTGCCACGCTAATCGTGTTCTGTCAGGACATAGCTGCTGGGGCCGGCGTGGGGTTGGCGGCCTTCTGCAGGGATGCTGTGGTGCTGCTGCATGGCGCCGAGCCCTGCCAACATGGGCCTGTCAAAGGAAAGCGAAGAGATTCCCATCTTTTAACCTGTTCCTCATACAGACAGAGCGTACTTCTTTGTTCGTGTCCATACTAACAAATGTCCTGTATTATGAATCACCAGTTACTGTGATTGGCATCAAACTGTGTCTTAAGGAACGAATTTGAAGCTTTTAGCAATTCTGTAATTTAGCAATTCAGTGGTAATTCTAGCATACTCGTTGATTTTTAGAGTGTAGTCCAAATTGAGCTTTGCAGGTACCCATTTCCCATTTACTGACTATTTACTCCAGGTTGGTACAGAACAACTACTTTGGGGGAACTTTAAACCCACCTGTAGATATTAAAAAAACCCAAAAGTTCTGTTACTTAAAGGCGTTTTCTGTTCCCTCCCTCCATGTGCCTCACCAGGACTCAAACCGGCGCTGCTGTCTCCGGCCCCCTCAACCCCCGCTGAGGGCGCAGAGCGACGGGAGGGCCGAAGGGCGGCACCGCGCTCGGTCCGGGCGCTCTCCCTCTCCCCGCCCCTCCCCTCCCAGCC